ACTCGGGATCAATTACACAGTAACGGAAACCAGCGCGAGGTAATCACATGGAATATTCACGATTATCGTCGAGCACCTTTTATCTGACTGTAAGAATCAATATCCTGCAAGACCAAGGTCCCCGAGTTGATGAATCGATTTCCAGTATCAAGATTACGATACAGCTAGATAGCGTTGCGAGATAACTGGTATTGCTTCAGAAAAATGTCCAACTACACCGCTGCCTACAACTGAGAATTTTATAGCCGATTATGTTATATTTTTCTTACGATAATATTAATTGTAATCTTGAAATATCGCACACGGTATCTCGAGTGATTTATATTTACCATTCGATATCTTTTCGAATTATTTACCAGTATTTGTTTTCCTATGTTAATCTCAAAACTATGTTTGTAATGTGCCTTCCCATTGTAATGTAGATTAAGATAAATTCAAAGAAAGTGTTACTTTAGTATACAATTCTTACAAATATAATTTTTAATAAAAAGAATATTTTTGTCATTATGTTTGTAGTCTTAGAAATTATGGTGATCCCTAAATCTTTTCTACAATTAAAAGTCTTAACATCTTTTTAAAAAGACTTTGAGGATTTTAACAAACACTATCTTAGATGTGAATATCATATAAATATTCTACAGTCAGAGACAGTTCCACGACTTTGGAAAGGTTTTCAAAACCACTGCTCTACATAGTTGCAACAACAGTAAAGATATTGGAAATAAAATAAATTACATAATTATGGAGTTCAATTATTCCACTAATCCCATTGGTTACCTATGACCACAACCCCTATCTTGGATCTCTATAGCAACAGTAACGACATTGAAAATTCTATAAACATTCTGTAATCAAAATCACTTCCAAGACTATGAAGAGGTGAGGAACTACTACTCTACATAGTTACAACAGTGATGATATTAGAAATAAAATAAATTAACATAATTATAGAGTTCAATCTCCTAATACCATTGGTCACCTATGAACACTACACCTATCTTGGATCTCTATAGCAACAGTAACGACACTGAAAATCCTATACACATTCTGTAATCAAAATCACTTCGAAGACTATGAAGAGGTGAGGAACTACTACTCTACATAGTTACAACAGTGATGATATTAGAAATAAAATGAATTACATAATTATAGAGTTCAATTCCCTAATACCACTGGTCACCTAAGACCACGACATGCTAGGTATCAGTGATCGACACAAGAAAGATCTCAGCACCCATAATAAACCGTCCCAAGATCAGCGAGTCTCACAGGATCCCGGAACCAAAGTGTCGAGAATGAATGCAACCTCGAAAGACGATCTCCTCCTGTAGCCTTCGAAAAATCGTCCGCGAGTATCGCCAAGGACCCAAGGAGTCGGCTGCCGACTTCACTGTCTTTGGTGGCAATTTGAGAAGCGATCGAAGCGACCAATGAACGGACGGGCGAATCAACGAACGGCACGGGAGAAAATGGTGCATAACCTTGCTCGAACGACCTCGATCGCCTTCACCGTAGTAGAAACCTTCAACGTCGTGGCCACGTCTACGGACACGCGCAGTATCGTCGATCCTTCGATCCCGACGCCAAAAGATCTCCGCGTGTCTTGTAACGGGAGAGGATCGTACACGCGATCGATGATGTGTTACGCCTCTCACTCTCGCTTCTTTTTACGAACAGACCCTGTAAGAAACATTTCACCTGTCCACCTTTCACCTCCAGGCCTTTCTTGCGAGCTGACTGCCGATTAGGTGTACGGTTTTGCTAAACTGTCTGTTGATTTGGTTAATAGACGAGGTGGTTTCTATCGGTTGACGATGGACGATGGAAGAAGTCTGGAAGATTGGGAGAATTTAGAAAGAAAGTATAGTCGGTTATAGAAATAATGGAATACAGGAGACTAAAAATACTGTAAAGTAGTATAACACACCTGATTTGTCGTTTAGGGAAACTATGGTGAGTTAGTGTTAGTGTAAGTCAACAAAAATGATGTATAAACTTGTTTGGATTTAAAAAGTTGAGGTTAGGTTACTTCAGAAGCGGTGTTTGTTGTTTTGGTCTGTGAACAGCTCCTGTGTGGATTTTCCAGGTTTTGCGAGTGTTGTAGGTTTCTTGGGAAATTGTGAGTTTCTTAAGAATGAATAAATTAGTGGTGTCTTGAGTTTCTGAAATTTAGAATAATGATGGATAATAGATGCAAGTTTGTTTATATGTGTATTAGGATAAGGATTTATAGATCTAACCATACACTTTCCAAAATTGATGGAAGAATTGGTATAAAGGAGCAATGCTTGGATAATGCAAGAAAATACGAATTTTTCTTGCATACGTATTTGTTATAACTCATCCTTAATCATTAAGTCAATACTCATTGGTCTCCTGTTCGCGTCACTGTAGACTTTTTCTTGTTTTAAATTGTTAACACCTTTTGTCCGTCATCGTTGACCAATATTGCCATAACCCCGGGGGTATTTATCCATTTTCCATTTGTGAAATTACCAACGTGACTAATAACATCGTAACAATATCCTGTTCTACAAAATAAAAAAAAAAAAAAAAATTATTTAAAATAAATCTGCACAGATTTGTAATCAATTATTTCAATCCCTCTTCCTAATTAGAACGCGCCTATATACATCCAAGAAAAGTAAAAGTATTCACCAACGAGTCAAATCGGTAACTCGTCTCCAATCGAAGCTAAAATGCTAACGAAAGGTTAGAAAATATTTCGAGAGAACGCAACTCGCATACATAACCTCTAAGCGTTTCTTTACCTTTCCAATTCGATTGTTTAAAATCGCTGTGTATTTAACATTTCATAAAAGTTTGACGAGTGCTTCTAAACGAGTACTCTCTCCAAATGCCAAAGTCAACACCTCGTGCCTTCCCGGATATTTCCCTGAAAACAGTCCAATTCGTTGATATACCATCAACAATCTCTTTATCATTATCTTATCAACCATTACCACGAATAATAAAGCAATTTCCATCCAGAATTATACCTATACCCACCCCCAGTAATCTTCGAACTTTGCCATCAATGTATAACCAGGCACGCGTATCGATCCGGCTTGCGACACAACATAACCTCACTCGACTCGATCTTTATTCGCCCACGTTAACGGTCCGTAATTTCCAGCTGTGTACGTGCACGACGAATCTCGTAGCTTCCCTAACGAGCCTCGAATACATCTTCAAGATCGAACGCGACGAACGGCGGCGGAAAAACTTCCGAGAAAAGCTTAACGTACGCTAAACGATAGTTCGCGGAAAGCGCGCGGAAACGACCGGGGAGTTCATGTGCTGCGCAGCTGGCGCAGGCGCTCGAGGACGATTTTTTATTCCCAGTCGCGCGAACGTGATTACACGGATACGGCTTTTTCAAGTCCCGTCGCTTCTCGGAAGGATTACGCATGACTCTAAGGCCACGATCTCGCGAATTTTACACCGTGCTAAAATCGTCCGCTGCTTTGCCACTCATCCCGGCTAATTGTCATGATCTTAACATTTTCTAACCTTATACCTTCGCCAAAAATTACTCGTATACCCTTATTTGTGTCTCAATAACCGCGATTTTTAAATATTCTAACCTTTTTAATTAGTAGTTATTCTTATATCCTTGTTAGTATTTCAATAATCGTGATTTTCAAATTTCCTAACCTCTTCATAATTTGATTAGCAACTAACCTTATATCTTTGTTTTAAATTTTGATAATCGAAATTTAAGAAGTTTCTAACCTTTTTATACTTATACCCCTGTTTGTATTCCAATAGTCAAGATTTCGAAATTTTCTATGCTATTCGAGAGGTCTTTATGGAAAACTGCCTTAAGTTTTCTTCAAGATTCCTGGAGATTCAAGATAATTATAATAAGTATACGTATTTGTGGGTTTTTCGATTACTCAGACAGACAGATGCGCGAATAAAACAGGCTGATAAATGTTCTAGGAAGATTTTTAAGGAAACTTTCAGTGACGTTGGAATTTTATTAGAATCTGGAATTAATTCTTGTGCGAGGAAAACGTGTTCGTCTATAGTATTAAATTTGCAACATTATATAAGCCTATAATTACAGCAATGTATATATATAACATATAATTTTATTAAGTTTTATATCTTATCTGTGAAAACAGCGATTCTCAACCTACGCCATATATATACTACCAGTGGTACATACATTTTCTCAGACACTATGCAAACCTAACCAAACTCCGTAAAATTTGGAAATTAATTCGAAAACTACGTACAATGAATATGCTCATATTTCATCATACATTAGCCGAATGTTGCGTGAAAAAATGGAGATTAACTGCATTAAAACATGGCGGGAAATTTGAAAATTACATACAATCAATACACACACGTTTGATCGCACATTAGCCGAATGGTACGCGAAAAAGTGGATGCTGAGAACCACTGCAATGGAACGCGAAGAAAATTAATCCTTTTTCTTCAAACATACTTTATCAATGGAAGCTACACTGTGCTCGGCGAATGAAAAAGGGTGTCAGTCGAACATGTTGCAAAATGATGTTTCAACAGATATATCGTGGAAAAATAAGTTGCTCTTTCGTTTATCTATCTGACAGAGAAAGATCTACACGCGGATGTTTTCAAACCGGTTGCGAAACTTATTCAAATCGGCCTTACCTAAAGTCACTTATCAGCCCGATTTTCGACACGCCGCGCGATAAAGCGGCGCGCAAATGACTAAGATAACCTCACTTAAACCGAACGGGAAAGATACTCGCGGTATCGCCTAATAGATGTTATGATAGATAATGGCGGCTGTCACGTTCGGCAGGTAACGAATAGAGGAGGAAAACAACGGTCACGGTTGATTTGTGTGGCTGGTCACGAGTAGCCGATAGACTTCTTGTAATCTTTCGCATAATATCGATCGTGGTTACAATCGAACGGAGAGAGAGAAGTCGAAAGCTTCTACGTGTCGCGCAACCGTATCGCCGCGAGTATGCAAATAATGGAAAGTGATTTTCACTTACCCCTTCGTTTCCTAGGAACTGTATAGTAGGGTTCTGGCTGGTCTTGTTCTGCAAACAGAAACGGAGAAAATTCGAATTAATTCAACGCTCGCTCGAGTTCCACTGTGATAGTAATGGCGGCCGAACTTCATCGCGACAGGTGTGTTATATTTCATGCTTCAAAAATACTCTGACAATAACATTTCCCACTGGTCTGTTAAATATCTATTTCGTGTTAAATATGGTCTTCGTTCATTTATTAATTATTATTTTGTACGCCTAATTGATATATGCATATACATACAATACATTGTATAATATAGTATACATAATAGATATGTTATGTACAAATTATACATTAATATGCACATCGTATGTATTATATGTATATACATTTGTATTTTATATGTACATATAAATTATTCGTACAAAATAATAATTAAATGATGAATGGAGACTATATTTATATGTGTATAGACTAAAATATATATAAATATATATTATAACATATATGTATTACATATAATATACAATATATATATTAATGTACACACGAATGTTTTTTTTTGTCATTAATTATTAATAACTTTAATTGCCTAGAAGAGACAGGTTAACCTGCCGAACCACGATTTTTCCGCCATTGTTGTGTAGCCACATGCTTAACTAGTAAAACTGCTACAGTTCGCATCCGACAAGTTTATATACCAATAACCCATATCATAACTTCGTTTTACTGGCGAATCGAGCACATGAAAGCAATAAAAGCAGTTCATATAAACATGCGTGTTGTTTTTCCATATTCTTAGGTTATGATCATTTTTATAGCTCAGTAATATGCAGTTGCACTCACGTACAGGAAGTACCTCGAAACAGCTATCTTCGGTCTAAATACAAGCCAAGTTGTAACAGAATTCTAACTATTCGTGTGGTTTTAAATATACACGGTTTAACAGAATCACTTACACTGCTGGACATTAACAATTACTTAAAACCGTTATAACCTAACCTAACAAGATCGAAAAGCATATACGTACAATTCTATTAACCATTCAAAAAACATTCCAAGCATTTTCATTCTCCACGATAACCCGAAAAATCCCTCTAACGTTTAATATATTCGCAAAAGACCTTAACGTTATGCACGTTACCTACCTACTCGTAATATACAACTAAAGTGCTTCCATCTATTAATACATTCAACAACCAAACCGAAGAAAACTCGAAGAAATCGAATTCCACTGAAACTCGCTGAAACCCGCTGTAGAATGACTAAGAATAAATTCTGTCTTCCACCTAACCTAACATTTCCAATTCATTCAACGAAACAACTCTCACACGGCTGAAAATTTCCAGCGATGCCCGAACGCAGTCACGGGAGCTGGCTCAAATACAAATCGCCGCGTCTGTTTGCATTGATTATCGCGCGTACGCTCATTAGCAAGGAAATGCCCGCTAACGATTCCTGGGCTTAACGAGAAGAAATCGTCGCGCACGATGACGCGTATTTGCATAACATGCGTCGGCAATCTCGTCAGTGGATGGGCAGCAGGCAAAATTCTCTCTCCCGTTCCGGTGGAAACGCAAACGCTCGCGCTTCCAGGCTGCGCATGCGCGGAGCTGACTGCGCCGTAGCAGATTCCTTCGGTTATACGCGTGCTCTATCGGCCCGGCTATCGACACGTGCATATAATTCGGCGATAAGGTTTGCGATAACCGTCGACTCGCTCCGAGCCACCGATTATGCCACGTAACGTACGAATCGGGTTTCACGAAATTCTTACTCGTGACACGATAAAGAAAAAGAGAGGAAAAGATCCGAAAGGCGAAAGGTAAGCCGTGGGTGAATTATGCATATGGCGTTCGAGGGCTCTCTGCTTGAATTTTATTAAGGTTATGTTCTCGCGCGCGGGAACCAGGAAATTGTGCATATACTTTTAATCGATAAACACGAATTTTCGACTTACTTTTAATTCTTTCTTTTTGCTTTCAGGCATTTAATTCTATTGTGAGGTCTAAATTAACGTATACCTACTTGCAATAGATAAATGAAGTTTTTGCATTTGCTTTTAAGTCTTTCTTTTTTTTTTTTATTTTTAGACTTTTATGCAAGAAGCTTCTTTCGATACGGAGAAGTAATATGAAGTTTGCTTGCTAGACAATTGAAGACATTTCTCTTACAGTGACGTAAACAAAAATCATATATCAACTGATGTGGAGAACTGTTTTATTCTCGTATCTCGAGTGTGGTTATGTTATTTTGAAGTAATAACGATAGATTTCTTGTTGTGTTTCCATACGAGATTCGTAATGAGGCATCAAAACAAGTGACGACTGAGTGTCGCCTTTCGAGTGCACAGAGTTCATACTACAAGTTAGGTTAGCTTGGGTTATAAGTCAATTCTTGAAACTTATTTTTAACTTTCATGGAATACATGGCTTCATAAAAATATCTTGAACGTGATCTTGAGAATGCGATATGTAAACAGAAGTGAAAAGTAATAGAAGTCGGTTTTACGGATTACGGTTAGTACTAGATCGATGACGTAATTTCCATACGCATTATCACCAGTATCAATATTTATATTTCTTGTAAACCTTAGTTATTCGTATCTGACACGTATGTGACGTTAAAGTACGTGTCCGATATGTGAATGATCACTTGCAAGAAATTTACTCGCGAGATCAGGACGAAAAATATTCGCATAATCTATCGTTATTTTTCATTATTCCAAATTACTAAATACTAAAAATTCGTCGAAATGTATTACCGAATATTATGTATCTGTAAAATGTACTTCATTTTCGAATTTTCACTCGCATTTGGTTATCGTATGTAAAGTGTAATTATGGTAAAGTAACTTCCCAGTAATGAATTCGAGGAGAATGGAAACGTATAATGCATACTTGGTTCATAATTCGATAGAAATTCGTTCGATTACGAGCCCAATGCAGCTTTCTACGCCAGTTTCTGCGGTTCGTGAAATCGGGCTACGGTATGATCCTATAACGTAATATATTTGCCGCGTTACATTAGCAGCGCGTGCATATACGACGATTTTGCGTGCAGCGCACACGCGCAGGCGCCTTAGCGATCGTTTGAAAAGGGAAAGTTGTCGGTAAGAGCGCTTCGTGCGCCTTTTATCGCCGAGCCCGATGAAGACGTTCGTAAAAGTGAGAAGCGCTGCAATTGGCGATCGTGGCGCTAGTAGTAACACGAAAAATGTACATCCCTGATTAATACCACCGTAATTATAGGATCTTGATAAAATTTCTGTTTGTTTGAGAAAAATTAATTTTTTTTTCTGGAGAACCCAAGCTTTTTTTAAAAAGAAAAAAAAAAAGAAAAAATGTAATTCATCGGATTTGTATTTCTTTTACTCATTGTTTGGGAAATACGGATTTTCTTTTTAATTATAATCTTATGTCGCGAGATGAAAATTGCTTGGACCATAGAGAAAGAAATTAGTGATTACACATAACCTAAATTGATTTTGACACTGAACCAAATTGTATAGATTAAATTGTATAACAAAAATAAATAGTATAATAAATATATACAGCGTGGGCTATTAATTTTATACAATTAATACAAAATTAATCATACAAAAATCCGTTGCAACTAAATGTGTGGTGGCGTCATATGCATAATGTTCGAATGAATGAATCAAAAATCTAAATTCTAGATCCAATCCTATAATATTTTTGATGGTTACAAAAATTCGTAAATTTTCTTCCTTTATTTGTGCAATTTTTTTTGCTCACCACAATATTAGTCGAAAATATCAATAACATATCCTGAACAAAGTATAGCATTCCTTAAATCTAATTACGAAATCTAAAATTCCCCAATTTAGGGAAGACAGGAAAACAAATTCCAAATGTACAAGTTTGGAATATAACATGATATAATTATGTTTCTATATGTAATTATATAATATTGAGTATAATTACATTTCTATCTAAATAAAGAAGTATATTAATTTTATCAGGCTCAGCTGTAAACCGTAAAAATAAGAAGACCGAAACCGGCCATTTTGACTGGTTCCAGTGCTGATCCGCCATCTTAATTACTCTCCTGTCTCCCAAGACACTGTGAAATGTCATAGTTCGTCGTAGCTCCGAGCTGTAAGCGTGCTTTTAGCCTTAACGTGTAGTGTCTGCGCTCTACCCACTTTCAAGAGGATCTCTTTAGTTTTATGAAAATGCGAGGCTCGTGAGAAACGAGCGCATTTAGGAAAATGCACGTTAAGTATAACGCGAGCAACAACAGGAACTTCGCAATTTACGATCGTAGATAAGTTAAAGAGACGAGTAATATTTATTAGACGAAATATTCTCACGCTAAAACGGAACGAAATTCTGCCACACTGAAACCCTAATCCTAATCCAACCATATAACCACAACGACCAATGCAATTGGCTACAGTCGTGTACCGGTACAGTACGATACAAAATTGTACTAGCATTATTCTATAGTGTCTCTCGAGACTGATGGGTTAGGTTCAAAAGATGCAAGACAGAAACATCAATTTTTGCTATGTTCGTTAAAATATTTTAAACGTGGTGATTTTTTCTCAATATTTTTGACACCAGCATCGGTTAGTACTAACTTTCTTCTATAAAATCAAATTCGATTCGTGACCCTACAATTTCTTTTTTCCAAGATTTACTGCTTTGAAGATAACCAAGTAAAAGATATCGATGTTTACTATATTTGCAAAAATGTTTCAATGATAATAATTTCTTCCAATCTACGTCGAGAGTACCATATAATACTAAAACTTTCACCTATAAAATGAAATTTTATTCACCATCGTACCATTTTTCTCTGCCGAGATATACCATTTTGAAGATAAACGATTACATATATCGATTTTGCTGCATTCACAAAAATATTCCAATAGCAATAATTTTTTTTTAATACTTTCACTGACGGCATGGTATAATACTAGCTTTCCTCTATAAAATAAAATTTGATTTACCATCGTACGATATTTTTCTGCCAAAATATAGCACTTTAAAAATAAACGAATAAAAAGTACCGATTTCCATACTACTCCGAAAAATAT